TGGCCCCATCCCATTTGCGTGCGCTCCCTGACCCTCCCCTTCCCACTCGCCTTCCTGCTGTCCTGGGCAGTCGTAAAAATTAGTCACATCTGCAGTGTGCACGGTACTGCTCAGTTCCCTTGTAGTGTGCATGATGCGCTCTTGCTTTGTCATGTCTGTTCTGCACGCCGCGCTGTGTAGCCATCCTGCCTTGTGCACGTTGTGCTCCCGCCATGCCATACTTGTGATGCTCTTAATTTCTGTCTTGGGCTGCTCCCTCAACCCTCTCGTGCTGGGCCTTCATGCCGCCAATAGCACCTGTTCGAGGCCACTGGCTAAAGAGGCGTCAAGAGGCGTTAAAGATCGGGGCCGCCCCGCGGGTCCTGGGGCCGTCGGCGGCCCGCCGTCCGCTTTGTCGCCCGCCCGCGACGTGGTGTCCTCGCCCCCCTTTCCCCTCTCCTGCCCGTCCAAGGTCCCGAACGGGGGTCAGGCCGTTTTCCGCCTGCGCACGGGTCGGTTCCCACGCACCTGGAGCCGTTGGTTTCAGCCTTTAGTCTTCATGTTTTACCTTTGTCCCGCCTTGGCAGTCGGCCGCCCCATTTTGGTTCGGTGTGCAGCCTCTCCCCCTCCCCTCTCTTCCTCGGCAGCTGTTTGGCTCGTGAGGCCTTGTCTCGCGCATTCTCTCGAGCTGCACCTCCCGTGCCACCCACCCGACCAAGTGATGGCGCCCAAGTTTTCGAAGCCCGCGCCGATGCCCTGGCCTGCCAAGACGCGCGCCGACTCGCCAAGTCACGATGCGGCGCCTCTTCGCGAGGCTTTGGCGGCGAAAGCTAAGGCGAAGGCTGAGGCGCGTGCGAAGGCCAGCGGTGCCTCCGCAGCCGACGCACCCACTTCCACAGCAAGGCCGGCGCAGCGCCCTGGCCAGCAGGTGATCGTGTCGGAGAGCGAAGACGAGGAGTTCGACGTGATGTCCGAGGCGGCGACCTTTCGGGCGGCGCCGACACTGCCCACGGGGTCAGTGACGCCCGCCGAGGACGCCGACGGAGGCGGCGGTACGGGGGCCGCCCCCAGTGCCGCCGCCTCCGATGGCGCCTCGGAGGGAGGCCCCGCGGCGACGGCTGAGGCGCCCGCTGAGGCCTCAGCGATGCCCGCGTCGGCGGTGGTGCCAGTGACGACGGCCGCCCTGGCAGCGGCAGCCACTTGCGCCAACTTCGCCACGGAGCAGCGCCGTGGGTTGGACGCGATCACCCTCGCGCTCCACAACCTCCAGCTGAGGGGGCAGGCTGTGGGCGACCGCGGCGGCCGAGGTGCGCGCAGCGACGCCGACGGCGGTCGCTCCGTGGACGACGGGGCCGCCAGTGAGGCCCCGAGTGCTGCGACCACGGGTGCCCTCAGCGGTCGTGGAGGCAAACGCCGCCGCCGACGCAGCAACGAGGCCGTCCACGGCCAGGCCCCCCAGCCGAGCGGCGGCGCACCTGCCGCGCTCGAAGACGCCGAGATGATGGCGGAGGAGGACTACGCCGAGGCGGGCTACGTCCACTGCGTGGGAGCGTACTGGGTCCCGCCGCAGCGCCAGGGCTGGTGTCGGAGGTGCACGGAGCTGGACGACTGGAAGGTCATGGCGGTGGAGTACGTGGACGAGCTCAGTTGTGGGGAGATGCGCCGCTATGCGGAGGCCAAAGGGTACAATCAGCAATGCCCCGAGCTGAGGAAGGGCAAAGAGGGGCAGTGCAAGCTGTGCACGTGCTCGCGATGCGTGGCGGCGACGCAGAACATCGCCGAGCACGAGGCTGTGACGCGCGCAGCGCGCTCGAACAAGGGCCCGGGCTCCATCGACCACGCCGCCAAGCGAGTGGCGAAGTTCCGTGCGAGCTTCGACTACATCAAGGAGGGCATGGACGTGTTGGTGGGATTCGCGCTCTCCGAGGAAGGCTTGCTTGCCCTGCGGAGGTCAACGGAGGGCGTGGGGGTGGGCATCGACCCCGAGAGCGCGGGCGCCCCCCCAGCCACGGAAGCGGTGGCGGAGGAGGTTGGTCGCCCGATGGCGAGGGAGGTGGGGGTGGTGCTGGGGCCGCCCCGTGCGCCACCCCCGCCCCTCGAGGAAGAACCTCCCCGTGACGAAGAGAGCGACCCCCAGCCCGACATCGATGCTGAGGACCAGGAGCGCCAGCTGACCGACGTCAAGACCGTGGAAGAGGTCACGGACATAGAGCCCCTGCTGCGGCTCGGCCTCTCCAAGAAATCGCTGAAGCGCATGGCGCGGGCCTATGGCGTTCTCAAATTCGAGACCATGCGCGCCCACATGCTGGGAGGCCTGGGGCCCATCCTGGAGAAGAAGGAGGACATGGTGAGGGGCGCAGAGGCGCAGGGCGGGGCCCAGAAGTGGCTCGACGCGCTGAATGAGGAGGCAGAGGAGGATGTGGGAAGGCTGAAGAAGGGCCTCCTGGAAGCCTCGGGGATTGCGGACGCACACCTGGGACACAAACGTGCCTGGAAGGAGGTGTGCAAGGGAAACGCCGCGGCGCAGGAGGCCTACCGCCGCATGGGTGACTACGCGGACCAGTTCTACCGTGGCAAGGGCTTCACGTTCAACATGTACTACAAGTGCTCGGCCAACAAGACCTGGGACAATCCCAGGGGATGCTGCTCGGTGATCCGATCGGATCGCTGGTCACAGCTGCTCTCCTGCGCACAGGAGGCGGCGGGGGAGACGGGCCAGCGCTGGTACTGCCACTGCGGCGCGCGCTACTCGACCTCCTACGGCGTCTGCACCGAGTTCATAGAGGAAGAGTTGAACCCGCCACGTGCGTACTACATGCACGCGGAGCACCCCGAGGGGGGCACCCGTGACTTGAAGGCCCTGCTGCGCTACGACAAGCTCAAGAGGGAGGGGGTACCAGTGTTCGGTGCGGTGGACCTCCTGAAGTACCTGCCCAAGGTCGAGCCGCTGGCGGTGGGCGCCGTCTTCAAGCGCTACGCCCCACACCAGCCACAGTGGGAGGGCCACTATGTGCTGATGGAGGGGCTCTCCTGGGAGAGCCTGACCGAGTTCAAGTGGACCGACCTCTACGCGCAGGTCGCCTGGGGACTGAACGACCCAGAGTGGGCGGGCTACAGCAAGAAGGCGCGGAACAAGGCCAAGAGGGAGCGCCTGGAGATGGCGCGCAGGGAGCTGGCGCTCTACGAGCGCCGCCACAACCTGCGGGAGGGCAGCCTCACGGGCGGCGGGGGTGGTGCAGGGGTCGCCCCGCGTGCCACCCCCGCCCGCGCCGCCAGCGCCCCCCCAGCGGGTGGGGCCCGCGACAGCCAGGACCCGCCACCCCGTTGTCGGAGTCCCGCCAGCGGCCGCGGCCATCATGGCCCCTCCGCCGCCGCCGCTGGCGGCTCCCCCAGCGGTGCCGCCGCCGCCGACGGACCCGCCGCCGCAGACGGACCCGCTCCCGCAGCAGATCCCAAATGCTGCAGCCCTGAACGTGGCCCTCGGTGAAGACCTCGAGCGCCAGATCTTCGGGCCCTCAGGGCAGGCGGGCGGCAGTGGCGACCTCGGTGGGGCAGTGCAGGCGCTGCCGTCGCAGGTCTTTGCGGCCATTGCGCAGGGAGCAGGCCAGCCTGCCTGAATGATGAAGCCCAGCAGGTACCAGGCCCTCGACAGGCCACGTGGGTTCATGCCAGGTTGTCTTGCTTGCCACTTTCAGTAGTGCGGCGTGCCCACAGTGACACCCCCCTCGCGTGGCTGCACCTGTGGCTTTAGCCTCTGCTCGGCGTATGGTCACCCGTGCGCCTAGCTACTCTGGCCCGCCAACTGGCTTGCCATCTTGGCCTCCTCTCACGCTCACTTGCGCTCGTGGGCCTCGCTGGCGGTGCTGGGGCCGCCCCGTGTACTGCTGCGTCGCCGTTGGGCGCCTGGCCATTTTGGCCTGCCTCCTGGCCTCCTCTCGCGCCTTCTTGCGCTAGTAGGCCTTGATGGCGGTACTGGGGTCGCCCCGTGTGCTGCTATGCCGCCGCTGGCGCTTCACTGTGGGCCGTAGGGACCAGCTGCCCTCGGCCAGGCGCCTGCCGCTGCATGCACGTCAGACCCGCCCTTGGCTTGCCATCCTGGCCTCTTCTCGCGTCTTCTCGCGCTAGTTGGCCTGGATGGCGGTACTGGGGTCGCCCCGTGTGCTGCTGTACCGCCGCTGGCGCTTCACTTTGGGCCGTTGGGACCAACTGCCCTCGGACAAGCGCCTGGCGCTGCAAGCACGTCAGACCCGCCCTTTCACCCAGAAGAGGGGCCCGTTACATACTGGCAATGAGGCAGCCACAAGGACGCTCTTCCCAAGGTGGTTGATCCGTGGTGATGTGGTGCACGAGACCGCCATCAGTAGTAGTAGTAGTAGTAGTAGTAGTAGTAGTAGTAGTAGTAGTAGTATTCGTAGTAGTATTAGTAGTAGTAGTAGTAGTAGTAGTAGTAGTAGTAGTAGTAGTAGTAGTAGTAGTAGTAGTAGTAGTAGTAGTAGGTAGTAGTAGTAGTAGTAGTAGTAGTAGTAGTAGTAGTAGTAGTAGTAGTAGTAGTAGTAGTAGTAGTAGTAGTAGTAGTAGTAGTAGTAGTAGTAGTAGTAGTAGTAGTAGTAGTAGTAGTAGTAGTAGTGTAGTAGTAGTAGTAGTAGTAGTAGTAGTAGTAGTAGTAGTAGTAGTAGTAGTAGTAGTAGTAGTAGTAGTAGTAGTAGTAGTAGTAGTAGTAGTAGTAGTAGTAGTAGTAGTAGTAGTAGTAGTAGTAGTAGTAGTAGTAATAGTAATAGTAGTAGTAGTAGTAGTAGTAGTAGTAGTAGTAGTAGTAGTAGTAGTAGTAGTAGTAGTAGTAGTAGTAGTATTGGTGATACTCGTAGCAGTAGTAGTAGTCGTAGTGGTCGTGGTAGTTGTAATAGTAGCAGTAGCCGTCATATTCATCATAGTTGTAGCAGAAATCTGTGTGATAATGACAAATGGAACTGTATCTAAAGTTCCGATCTACAACAACGTGCTGCATATCCTTAGAAGTCTCACAGAGGCATCCCGGGTCCCAGCCGTGCATCGTAGAAGCAGGTCAAGGCTTTCTAAAGGAAGCCCGGTCGAAACCTGAGGTTTTCTTGCGGTGTCTGCAAGGTTGGATCCAGCCAACATGTTTACTTTCTCGGAAGAATGTGGAGCTGTAGGTCACCAAAGTAATGACCGCATGCGCGGGCGCGCTGCTTGCCCTAGACGTCTGCTTGGGCCAGGCGCTGAGCGAAGGGCCAGGAAGGCGGCAAGCACTGCTTTGATGCCCAGCCGCGTGCTGTAAGCCCGACGTGCGTGCACTGAGCGAGCGTGGCGCATCCTTGCGCTTCCCTAGTAATACGTACTCATCTTCCTCCACCTCCTCCTCCTCCTCCGCTGACCCCTCGTCCTGCTCCTTCTTCTTCTTCTTCCTCCTCCTCCTCCAACGGTCCTCTTCTTCCTCTTCCTCCTGCGTCTTCTTCTTCCTCCTCCAAGGAACGCTGCGAAAAGCATGGGGGATTTGGCTCCCATCCGCAGCTTCTCTTGTGCATAATCGTCCAACGGATACTGCTACCGCGACGGAGCATCGTAGACGAAACGAGGCGAGGTAGATGAAACCAGCAGTTCTGATCCGAATGCGAGATCACACGGTGACTTGGGGCTGCTGTGACTCCTTGCCACGGGCGCAGCGGTCCATGCAGCGGTCAACCAACATGAGAAGCCCAGCGCCGCAGAGGCAACCTCCGATACAGAGATAGATGATCTTCCAGATCCAACTCTCGGGCAGCATGAAGAGGTTGATGGACCCGACGTAGAAGTACAGCCCCGCCCGCCCCGCGCGCGAAGCAAGGCACGGCGCCGCGCTAAACAGGCGCCCCTGCAAGTCGAAGCAGCGCCCGAACCAAGCCTGCTCGCCCTCGACGATAATTATCACGATTGCGAAGATCATGTTGTACACCCCGAAGAGGTATTGCAAGGGGTGGAACGCGGCATTGAAGACGTTGATCATCCCCAGGATGGAGAATACGAACAGCGCCAGGGCGGTCGCAAAGCACCACGCGCGGACGCTGCAACTGACGCGCTCCCAGCCTGCCCCGCCGCCCAGGAACGCGCCTCTGGATTCGCTCGGGTCGGGCGCGCCCTGACGAGCAGCCTGCTGTTAGAGGCTTGGAAATCCGCACCGACACCCTCACGGGGGCTTGCCTCCACCAGGGGAAAATGATCCTGGATTCTGGTGCTGGTGGTAACCTTTCGGCCACCAGGGAAGCCCGAGCAGTACCACCACCATCACCGAGATCATCCTCTCTCGGTGGCGGCATGCCGCCGATTGTGGTGTTGGTGCCAACCTCTTGGCCTCCGATGCTGGGCCACCTTCCAGGCCGCCGCCTGCACATGCGGGTCCCGTGCAGCGCCGCCCACGGCCGCCTGCAATCTCGGGTCCTTCGCCGCGGCGCCGATGACCTGCCCCTGTACGCCGGACATCGCGCCTGGAATCGAGAGCCCGCCTTCCAGGTGGGGTCGGAGAATATGGGGTCGGAGGATCGCGCCGCATCGCCAGTGCATCGCAGATGCACCGTCGATGCACCGGCGAAGTCAGCGATGCATCGGTGACGTCGGCGCGGAGAAAAATCGGGCTCCACATCGAGCCGCGTCGCCGATGCATCGGTGATGCGGCGCGCCCCTTCCGAACCCATCTACTCTGATCCCGTCTGGGAGGCCCAGAGGGGATGGGGGGAACAGCGCAACTGATGCTCACCACGCTTGGACTGAAATGGCGAGCAACAGTACAAGAGCGATAGTGACGATGACGATAAGTTGAAACGCCGACAAATAGATTGATATGTGGTCGGTGCCTGAAGCTCCGTTGGAATCGACCCGCGAACCTCTACCAGCGTTAATTCCACATGGGTATGGTGTAATGCACGAAGGTATCTGAACAAGTAAGCGTCACCCGCATGTGCGACCCGAGAAGATTAGGCCCCGCGGGGTCGCAACGCGGACCAACGCATTCAATAATAACAATTGCCACGCGTGCCCTGGCTGCTGTACGAGAGAAGCCCAATCCATGGGGGGGGAGCCAGGGGAGAGGGCTAGGGGGAGGACTGGCGCGGAGCCAGGGAGGGAGGGGGCGGGCCCGGGGGAACACGAGCGAACGAGCCCACGAGGTGCCATAGGCTCCTATAGCCCCAGAACGCAGCTGCGCAAGAGAGGCGCAGGCCCCACGACCAGCTTGGGGCCCTTGAAGGGGCCCCAAGACACACAAATAAGTACACACAAATAAAAGGATTCCCCATATTTTCCCACATTTTCTGGCGTCTTGTCTTCCCCCCCACGTCCCATATTTTCCCCTACTTTCTGGGGATCGACGATTCATTGTGTCTGTGTGTTTTTTCCCCTCCTGAGCCCTGGCCCCGGGGAGAGGGCCGCGGCCACGAGAGCGCGAAGGCGCCGAAAGAGCGAGGGCCGCACCCCGGGAGAGAGGGCAACCGCTGGCCTCCCTGGCTTCGCCCGGCTGGCTTCGCCGGGCTGGCTTCGCCGCCCGGCGACACCAGCTGCCGCCGGCGACACCAGCTGCCGTCGGCGAAACCAGCTGCCGTCGGCGAAACCAGCTTCGTCGGCGAAACCAGCTGCCGTCGGCGAAACCAGCTGCCGTCGGCGAAACTGCCCGACCCGACCCGCCCGCTAGGGTGCGCCCGCCCGACCCGACCCGCCCGTTTGGATTCGCGCGTGCTCGGTCGAGCGTGGTCCACGCTTTAATGTCCCGCCCGCCCGACCCGACCCGCCCGCTAGGGTCCGCCCGCCCAGCTCGACCCGCCCGTTAGGGCTCGCGCGTGCTCGGTCGAGCGTCGGCGAAACCAGCGCCAGCGAAAGAAACCAGAGCCAGCGAAACCAGCCGCCAGCGAAACCAGCGGGGCGAAACCAGCGGGGCGAAACGAGCACTGGCGAAACCAGCGCTGGCGAAACAAGCCGTCGGCGAAACCAGCGGGGCGAAACCAGCGCCGGCGAAACCAGCACATGCGGGGGGGGAGGGCCCAGGCGAGCATTGGGGCTGAGACAGGGAGGGATGACGAGCGAGCCACGGGGAACAACAAAAACAGGACCCAATGCCTGGGGGAACGGGGCCACCCTGAGAGCCTCCTGGCGTTGCGAATTTTTCACACCGGGCGTTTTCACCAAATTTCGGGCCCCCAAGATCCTCAAGTATCGATCCGGCTCGGAAAATGAAGCGGACAAACAAAGTCCGGGGCTCTGACCGTGACTTTTTGCGATGCTATTTTCTGTTCTTTTTGGGGGGGCCACGTCAGATCTCAGGGTAGCGGGACCAGGTCCTGGAGGAGGACAAGCGGGCCACAAAAATCAAGATGCCTGGGGTTGCGAGGAGGCGGGGCCGGGGGAACAGGGCTATGGGGGGAGGGCTTGGTAGCCCAATGCAAGGGGGGAGGGCCCAGGGGCCGAGGGCCTGGGGGCGGAGACAGGAGGAGTGCCGACGAAAAAACGAAACAAACATCGAAGGACCTGTGGTCATCAAGTACAACAACAGCAACTACAACAACTACAACTACAACGATAACGACAGCAGCAACAGCAGCAACAACAACAACCACTACTACTACTACTCCCATCCTTATTCCTTATTAGAATATACTCCTACTCCCCCCTCAGGCCGGCAGATCGCGGGCGCATCCGGGTGGTCCCATCCTAACCTGTAAAAAACAATACAACATCAACATTTTTCTTATTTTTTCCTCTCGACATGGACGTCCTGTCGTCCACGGCGATAATCCATTGCAAAAAATACCACAAAGAGCACGCGCGCGCGTTCATGTCAGAATCCTACCGAACACCGTGTGTTTGCAAGCATTTCAACATAAAAACATCAAAAACCCAATGCTTTTTCACAACAAATTGTACAAATTTCCCGCCCGGGCTCTCTTGCTGAAATCATAGGAAAACCATAGGAATCTTAAGAATTCGGTCAAATCCAGCGATTTCACGTCATCGCGCGGTGCACTCGCGATGCTCTGTCATGCACCCAGGCCGCGAATCCTGTGCAAAAAATACCACAAAGAGCACACTCGCGCGTTCATGTCAGAATCCTACCGAACACCGTGTGTTTGCAAGCATTTCAACATAAAAACATCAAAAACCCAATGCTTTTTCACAAAAATGCTTTGGGGTGTCCTGTCAGACCGTCGGGCTTCCTCCGGCCACCTCTGGCTTCCTGCGGTGTACCGGGCCATTCTCGACTCGTCTGGCAATGCGTGCGCGGCATTCAACACGCGCTCGCCAGTTCCCGTCGGCAACCGCCATCGCGGCCGCATCAGCTGTACCAAACCGGCTGGCCGGTGTGACTTCGGCCCCCAGTTGTGCCAGCTTTGCTTCTTATGTTGTGGGAGGGCGGGTGGGACTGGGCATGCCATGCTTGACTCGCTCGAGCTGGCTAGCTTGACTCCTATCCTTATTCCTTATTAGAATATACTCCTACTCCCCCCTCAGGCCAGCCGATAGGGGCCGCATCCGGGTGGTCCCATCCTAACCTGTAAAAAACAATACAAAATCAGCATTTTTCTTATTTTTTCCTCTCGACATGGACGTCCTGTCGTCCACGGCGATTCTCCATTGCAAAAAATACTACAAAGAGCACACGCGCGCGTTCATGTCAGAATCCTACCGAACACTGTGTGTTTGCAAGCATTTCAACATAAACACATCAAAAATCATTTTTTTTTTTTTTTTTTTTTTTTTTTTTTTTTTTTTTTTTTTTTTTTTTTTTTTTTTTTTTTTTTTTTTTTTTTTTTTTTTTTTTTTTTTTCAGAAAAATTGTACAAATTTCCCGCCCGGGCTCTCTTGCTGAAATCATAGGAAAACCATAGGAATCTTAAGAATTCGGTCAAATCCAGCGATTTCACGTCATCGCGCGGTGCACTCGCGATGCTCTGTCATGCACCCAGGCCGCGAATCCTGTGCAAAAAATACCACAAAGAGCACACTCGCGCGTTCATGTCAGAATCCTACCGAACACCGTGTGTTTGCAAGCATTTCAACATAAAAACATCAAAAACCCAATGCTTTTTCACAAAAATGCTTTGGGGTGTCCTGTCAGACCGTCGGGCTTCCTCCGGCCACCTCTGGCTTCCTGCGGTGTACCGGGCCATTCTCGACTCGTCTGGCAATGCGTGCGCGGCATTCAACACGCGCTCGCCAGTTCCCGTCGGCAACCGCCATCGCGGCCGCATCAGCTGTACCAAACCGGCTGGCCGGTGTGACTTCGGCCCCCAGTTGTGCCAGCTTTGCTTCTTATGTTGTGGGAGGGCGGGTGGGACTGGGCATGCCATGCTTGACTCGCTCGAGCTGGCTAGCTTGACTCCTACTCCTACTCCTACTCCTACTCCTCCTACCTCTACTACTACTACTACTACTACTACTACTACTACTACTACTACTACCACACTACCACTACCACTACACTACCACTACTACCACTACTACTACCACTACTAGTAGTAGTAGTAGTAGTAGTAGTAGTAGTAGTAGTAGTAGTATTAGTAGTTAGTACTACTACTCCTACTCCTACTCCTACTCCTACTCCTACTACTACTACTACTACTACTACTACTACTACTACTACTACTACTACTACTACTACTACTACTACTACTACTACTACTACTACTACTACTACTACTACTACTACTACTACTACTACTACTACTACTACTACTACTACTACTACTACTACTACTACTACTACTACTACTACTACTACTACTACTACTACTACTACTACTACTACTACTAGCACCAATACTACTACTACTGCTACTACTACCGTTGCTACTAGTACTACTGTTACTTCTGTCTTTACTCTTTCTACTCCGGCTACTCTTACTACTCTTACTAGTCTTATTACTCTTGCTCTTGCTCTTAGTCTTACTCATACTCCTACTAATCCTACTACTGCTACTACTACGACGACGACGACGACGACGACGACTACTACTACTACTACTACTACTACTACTAGTACGACTACTACGAGTACTACGGGTACTACGACTACTGCGACAACTACAACAACAACTACTACTACTACTACTACTACTATTACTACTTTTACTACTACTACTACTACTACTACTATTATTGCTACGATGACTACGACTACTACTATGAATACAACTACTGTTAGTGCTACTACTGCTCCTACTGCTGCTGC